TATATATATATAGTGAAAAATAAGCTTCTATAGCTTAACCTGGTTAGAGCAATAAACTGAAGATTTATTGGTAAAAGTTCAAATCTTTTTAGAAGCATTATGATAAATATAATGAAAATTATATTTATACCAAGATATAAAAGTAATAATTATTGAAAAATCTCGATAATAAATAAGAAATAAAAAATAAAAATAAATGCAATTAGTATTAGCTGCTAAATACATCGGAGCTGGAATAGCTACTATAGGTTTAACTGGAGCAGGTATTGGAATCGCTATCGTTTTCGCTGCTTTAATTAATGGTACATCTAGAAACCCTGGATTAAGAAATACATTATTCCCGTTTGCTATATTAGGATTCGCCCTTGCTGAGGCAACAGGATTATTCTGTCTTATGATTTCATTCTTATTATTATATGGAGTATAATATAAGAACTTAATAAACATAAGAACTTAATAAAATTCAATAAATATCATTAAATTAATATTTAATTAATGATAATAATAAAAGCACTATAAATTTATAGGTAAAATATATATATATATTAATATATATTTAAAATATTGGTTCGAATCCAATAGTGTTTGTTGAGATAAATATAATGAAAGTTATATTTATACTATATATAAAAGGAAAATAAAAGAATAATAATAACCAATTAATAAATAAAAATTAATTAAAAATAAAAAATGAAAAATAATGACATGAGAAACATTAAAAAAATCATCAAATTATAATACAAATAAAATTGAATATATAAAAAAATTAAGTAAATCATTCAATTATTCAGAAGAAACAATAATAAATTTAACAAACGCTTTATTACTTTATAATAAGGATTTAGATTATGAAAAAATTAATTATAATAATGATGAATTTAAACAATGATTAGTTGGATTTTTTGATGCAGAAGGATCATTTAGAATGAATAGAAGAAGTGATACTCGTTATGAATTAAATATAGTATTAAAATTACATAAAGATGATATATTAGTATTAGAAAAAGTTAAATTATTATTTAATGTCGAAGATTTAAAAATATATCATTCTGCGAGTGAAAATACTGTAAGTCTTTCTATAGGTACTAAAAATGTATTATTAAACAAAGTAATTCCATTATTTGATAAATATCCTTTATTAACTAAGAAAAATTATGATTATAATTTATGAAAAGAAGCATTATTAATATATAATGATGAAACATTATCTAGAATAGATGCTGTAAAAAAATTAGATTTAATTAAAGCAAAAATTAATAATTATGACGAAAAAAATTCTGATAAATATCCTACTGCAGAATTTGTTAATAAATACTTTAATTTATTTTGATTAATTGGTTTTATTGAAGGAGAAGGTTCATTTTCAATTAAATCTACTAAAGATGCATTACATTTTTCTTTAACACAACATAAAGCATCTATTATTGTAATGCAAAAAATATTAAATTTCTTGTTAGTATCATCTCCTGATAAAAATTGTCCAATAAAAGATGAAATGAAAAAAATTAGTAATAAATTATACCCTGATAGAAATAAATTGAGAGTTATAACTACTACTGTTGATTTTCATTATTGAGTATTGATACCATTGTTCTTGAAATATCCTTTCCAAGCTAGAAAAGGTACTGATTTTTTATTATGATCTATTTTAGTTATTCTTAAAAAACATGGAATATTACCAACAGATCAAGGACAACAATTATTAAATGAAATTAAAAAAATTCATAATTCTAAACGTTATACTAATAAAAATTTAGTTCCTATATCGGATTTAATTAATACTATTAGTTTAGATCCTGTATTTGATCTAAATTTATCACATGATACTAATTCAAGAAAAAATAGATATAAAAAATAAATATATTATTATATATATATAATGTATTATTTATTATAATAAATTAAAAACTTAATAATAAAAGAAGTATATATATATATCTAATTAATATATAATTATATATTTAAGAGAAGATCTCCAATGTTGGTAGTTGGTATTGAGCTGTAAACTCAACGATTTATTTCTTCGTGTGTTCAATTCACACTCTTCTCATAAAACATTGATAATAAATAATAAATAATAAATAATAAATAATAAATAATAAATAATAAAGAATAGATATAATAGTTTTAATAGCTTAATGGTAAAGCTATGCACTGTTAATGCATTGATTTGGGTTCAATTCCCAATTAAGACTTTAAAATATAAAAGGAAAATAAAAGAATAATAATAATCAATTAATAAATAAAAATTAATTAAAAATAAAAAATGAAAAATAATGACATGAGAAATATTAGATTTATCAGTATTAGGATTTTATTCATTAATAAGTAGTAATTCATTTGAATCAATAGCGATATTAGTTGCTACAATATTACCAGTAATAACTGAATTATGATTTAATTATTCACAATTATTTGCATTATTATATACATTAATATATGTAGGAGCTGTAGTTATATTATTTATATTTATATTATCTGTTATTAATGAGAAAGAAGAATATGAATATGAATATAGTGGATTAATTATATTATTATTTATATTATTATTAGATGATATTGATGATAATGATGATAATGATAATGATATTTATAATATTAATATAACAGATTGATCAGATTGATTAAGTTATAATAATTTATCTGATTTAAATACATTAGGTAATTTATTATTTACTGAATATGCATTATTATTATTATTTATCTCATTTATATTATTAATGAGTATAATCGGTTTAATTATAGTAGTTAAAAAATAAATTAATTATGAATTATAAAGAAAGAAAAAAAATAGATTAATATATTAAAATAAATATATTATAATAATAAAAAATAAATAATGTTAAAAAATATAACAAATTATATAATAGATATAATAGATGGATTACAATATTGAATATTTTTATTAGTATTTGTAGTAGCTATATTATTATCAGTAGCTTATTTAACAGTAGCAGAACGTAAAACTATGGGATATATGCAACGTAGAGTAGGGCCAAATGCAGTAGGATATTATGGTATATTAATGGCATTTGCTGATGCATTAAAATTATTAGTTAAAGAAATAGTATTAGTACATAATAGTGATATTATGTATGTAATAAGTGGACCATTAATTACATTATTTTCAGTATTATTAAGTTTAGCTATAATACCATTTGGACCAGGAATATCAATATTAGATAGTGAATATTCAATAATATATATATTAGCAACTGGTTCTATAGGTATATTTGGTACTATAATAGTAGGATGAATGTCTAATTCTAAATATACTGTATTAGCTACAATTAGAACTACAGCACAATTAATAAGTTATGAATTAGTTTTAACAACTATTATATTTATAATAGTTTTATTAGTAAGTTCATTAAATATAAATACAATAATTGAATCACAATTAAATTGTTTTTATTTTATTCCTTTATTCCCCTTATTTATTCTATTTTTTATTAGTATTTTAGCTGAAACTGGACGTCCTCCTTTTGATAATATCGAAGCTGAATCTGAATTAGTTTCTGGTCATATGACTGAATTATCTGCATCTCCTTTTGTTATCTTTTTTTTAAGTGAATATTGTTCTGTTCTTTTTATGAGTGCTTTAACTGCTATATTCTTTTATGGTGGTTATTTACCTTTTATTAATTCTTTACATTTATTTATTCTTAATTTATTTGATCAACATAATATCTTTTTCTTTATTATTGAAGGATTCTTATTTGGTTCTTATTTAATTATTAAAACTAATTTCTTTATGTTCTCTTTTATTTGAATTAGAGCATCTTTCCCTAGATTAAGATATGATTTACTTATTAATTTCTGTTGATATGTTTTATTACCTATCGTTTTTGCTATAGTTATACTTATCCCCACTATTTTATATAGTTTTGATGCTATTCCTACTATATAATTTATTATTTCTTCTCTCTCATATTTAATTATATTTAATTTAAATATATATATTTAATATATAAAACTGGTTAATAAAGATTATATTAATATAATATAATAAAAATAAAAATATTAGAAAAAATAATGGCAATACAATTATTAATAAATGTTAATATAATAGGAGTTATATTAATAATAATATATAATAGATATAAAATTTATTGAAAAGATAGTGTTATAGGAATGAAACAAATAGGATTAATAATAAGTATATTAAATATATGAATAATAATTAAATTATTAATAGATTATAATAATAATTATTATGGATTTCAAAATATAGTTAATTATTTAAATATTAATTGAGGTATAGATGGTATATCATTAATATTAATTATATTAACAAGTATATTAGGACCAATAGCATTATTATCAAATTGAAAAAATATACGGAAATATAATAAATCATATATAATAACAATATTATTATTAGTAATATTAATGATATTAAATTTTATATGTTTAGATTTAATAAGTTTTTATATATTATTTGAATCAACATTAGCACCATTATTTATATTAATAGGAATATATGGAGCTAATAATAAAGATAAAGCAGCATATTATGTATTAATATATACATTAGCTAGTTCATTATTTATGTTATTATCAATAGTATTATATAATATAATATTAAATACAACTGATTATACATATATAAATAGTATAGTGATATCAACGGAATTACAAAGTATATTATGAATTGGTATATTTATAGGTTTAATGGTTAAAACACCATTAATACCAGTACATACATGATTACCAATAGTACATTCAGAATCACCATTAGGTGGTTCTATATTATTAGCAGGTGTAATATTAAAATTAGCTATATATGGAATAATAAGATTATTATTATCTAATTTATCAGAAATAACTATATCATATACACCTATAGTTTATATTATAGCTATAATAACATTAATTTATAGTAGTTTAATAACATTAAAACAAACTGATTTAAAAGTAATTATAGCATATAGTTCAATAAGTCATTTAGCAATATGTATATTAGGTATATTTGCTAATAATTTAATTGGAATTAATGGTTCTTTAATATTATGTATAGCTCATGGTTTTGTATCACCAGCTTTATTTATATTAGTAGGTGGAATATTATATGATAGATTTCATAATAGATTAATTAATTATTATCAAGGTTTATCTAGTTATATGCCAATATTTAGTATTTATTTAGTTATATTTAGTTTCTGTAATACTGGTACTCCTTTAAGTGGTAATTTTGTAGGTGAATTTTTATCAATAACTGGTGCAGTTATAAGACATCCATTAATAGGATCATTTGGTATTGCATCAGTATTATTATCCGCATGTTATCAAATGAAATTAACTAATAAATTAACTGGAGGTGTATATTCAACATATTTAAATATAACAAATGATATGACAAATAGAGAATTATTTTTATTAAATTGATTATTATTACCTACTATTTTAATAGGTATTTACCCTTCATGTATTATTAATTTATTAAATTGTTCTACATCTTGTTTAATTTACACTCTTTATTATTAATTTTATTCTTTTCTCATTTTATTTGAATTTATAAGCAATATATTTATTTTATGGATTAGTGTTGATGGTTCAACATATTAATTGCAAATTAATTATCTTTGAGTTCAATTCTCATCTAATCTTATTAATAAATTAATTCTTTTATTTTTCATTTATTCTTATAAAGTCATTATGGTGGAATTGGTAGTCACAATACACTTAAAATGTATTGCTTTAATTAGCGTATAAGTTCGAATCTTATTAATGACATTAATATTTAATTATCTTATTTAGAGTTTAATTATCACTTTTTTATTAATTAATTAACATATTAATTATTATTCTTTTTATGGGAGAATAGTTTAATGGTAAAACGTTTGACTTTTAATCAAATTATGTTTGGTTCAAATCCAACTTTTCCTATATATATTATTTATATATTATATAAAGGTAAATATAATTTAATCGGTTAAAATCGATGCTTGTGGTGCATTTTATCTGAGTTCAATTCTCAGTATTTACCCAAATTAATATCTATTAATATATATTTAATATATATATATCTATTTTTATATGTTAATATAGTTTAATCGGTAAAACAATTGCCTCATATGCAATATATATAAGTTCAAATCTTGTTATTGACAATAATAAATAAATAAATAATAATAAATAAAAATAAATAGGAAACTATTTGAAAATATATAAAATTAATAATAATGATTAATTATTAAAGAAATAAAAATAAAAAAAAATGAGAGAATTAATTAATATATTAGTAATTAATATGGAAAATAAATGGATATTCAAAGATATGATAAAAGAATATATAAAAAATATATTAAAAAGAATAATATCAATAAAAAAAATAAAAATGATATCTGATTCTAATATTATGATAGATATAAGAAATAATAGAAAATGAAATATTCAGAAATGAAATCAAATGAATGATTGACAAAGTGTAATATATAAATTTAATAAAACGGAATTAATTAATACAATTATAATGGATAAATTAATTAAAGAATTAATTGAAATTCAATTAAATATGGAATTTAATAGAAATAAAAATAGATCGATAATTATAGGAGATATAAGAATAAATCATAGTTTAAATAAAGTAGTAATAGAATTTTATTATAATTTAGGATTAAAAAATTTAAGAAGTAATGGTAAATATTATATATCAAGTGTTAATAAAGTATTAAATAATTTAAGTAATAATAATATTATATATAACATACCTGATATATTAAGTAAATATTATAATAAAGAAGTGATAATTAAACCTAAATATATAAAATATAGTTATTTAAATAGTGATATATTAGGTAAAACAATAATAAATAACATAAATATTAAAAGAACAACATTAAAAGGTAAATATGCTAATTTATTATATAATGTATTACCATCATTAAATAGTAATATAATATCTAATAATTATGAAAATAATTATAAAAAATATTTAAATATATTAAATGATAATAGTTTAAATATATTAAATAATGATATATCTTTAAATAATAATAATTCAATTATAAATATTAAATCAATATATAAAGATATGATATTAAATAATAATTTAAATGATTATTTACGTTCATTATTATTATATAAATATCTTACTGGTTGATCTATATCTTTAAAAGGTAGATTAAGTAAATCAGGTGTTGATAGAACTAAAACACAAATATTAACTAAAGGAACATTTAATAATAATATTATTAAAAATAATAATGTTTTAGTTAACAATTATAAATTAAATTATATTAATAATAGCATTAATAAATCTAAATTTAATTATAACTCAAGATATGGTACTTTAGGTATTAAAATTAAATTAAATAATATTTAATTATTTATCTTATTTATTTCATTTATATATTAATATATATTATATTTCATTATTAATAATTAATATATGAGAATATATATATAAAAAAATATAGTAATAATAAAAATAATAAATATAAGTAATATAATATTAATAGGAAAGTGGTAAATAATATAATTAAATAAGAAGAGATAATTAATGAGAAAAAAAATAAATTATATTATAATAGTAAAATAAAGAATAACTAAAACTATCATAATAATATTATATAATAATATATAATACAGATAGATACCGAATGGTTAGGTACCTTTTTTGGGTAAAGGATCAAGTTAGTTCGATTCTAGCCTATCTGATATAAAAAATAAATAACTCTTTTAGTTTAATAGGTTAAAACATATTATTTCTAATTATATAATCTACGTTCGAATCGTGGAAAGAGTGTAATGAGAATTTAGTTAAATTGGTATAACATTTGTTTTACACACAAAAGTGTAAAGGTTCAAATCCTTTAATTCTCAATAAAAATAAAAAATTTGATAAGGAAAATAAAATATATAAATATATAAATAAATAAATATGAATTTATTAGACATTAAATTTAATAAAGGAGATTAAAGAGAATGTAAAGAAAACAAAACAATGAGATTAGAGAATAGACAAAATTTACAATTATTTCCGTTCCATTTAGTGACAAGTTCACCTTGACCATTATCAATATCAATATCATTAATGTCATTAGCCTTAACATTTGCATTAACAATGCATGATTATATAGGAAATAGTTATTGATTAATATTAAACTTTATAGTAGTAATATCAAGTATAGGATTATGATTAAGAGATATAATAACAGAAGCAACATTTTTAGGAGATCATACAATAGCAGTAAGAAAAGGAATAAATATAGGATTCTTATTATTTGTATTATCAGAAATATTAATATTTACAAGTATATTCTGAGCATATTTTCATTCAGCAATGAGTCCAGCAATAGAATTAGGAAATAGTTGACCACCAGTAGGAATAAATTCAATAAAACCAACAGAATTACCATTATTAAATACAATAATATTATTAGCAAGTGGTGCAACAGTAACATGAGCTCATCATAGTATTTTAAATAATAATAGAAAAGGTACATTAGTATCCTTATTTATTACTACTATTTTAATTGTAGTTTTCGTATTATGTCAAGTAGCTGAATATACTTTCGCTGAATTTACTATCGCTGATAGTGTTTTCGGATCTGTATTCTACTCAGCAACTGGTTTACATTTCATTCATATGGTTATGTTATCAATTATGCTTGCAATCTGTTATATAAGAATGTATTTCTATCAATTTACTAGTGGTCACCACGTTGGTTTAGAAGTAACTATCTTATATTTACATGTTTTAGATATTATTTGATTATTCATTTATATCGTTATGTATTGATGAGGTTGTTAATTAAATTAATTTTTTTAATTAATATTTTCATATTTAATATTATATTATTATAAGTAATATATTAATATATATATATATATTATATAATATATTAGCGGATTTAAGTTAATTGGTAGACAATTTCTTTTCCACAGAAAAAGTGTTTGTTCAAGTCAAACAATCCGTATAAGTATAATAGTGTAATGGTAACACATTAGACTCATAATCTAAAGATTCATGTTCAAATCATGATTATGCAAATAATAATAGTGTAAAGGTAACATATTAAATCAATTAAAAGATTTAAAGATTCATGTTCGAATCATGATTATAAGATATAGAAATGAAGATTAAAAAGTAATAAAAAAAATTATAAAAAAGAAAAGATCTAAAAAGAGAGATAAAAAAATGAGAGATATAATAATATCAACAAACATTAGAAATGATGTGCCAACACCATGAGGTGTATATTTTCAAGATTCAGCAACACCAAATATGGAGGGTATAATAGAATTACATAATAATGTAATGTTTTACTTAATATTAATATTAATATTTGTATCATATGTATTATATTCAATAATAAAAAATGATTCAAATAGTCCAATAACATTAAAATATTTAAATCATGGACAATTAATAGAAATAATATGAACAACATTACCAGCAGTAATATTATTAACAGTAGCATTTCCTAGTTTTATTTTATTATATTTATGTGATGAAGTTATTTCACCAGCAATGACAATAAAAAGCAATAGGATTACAATGATATTGAAAATATGAATACTCTGATTTCATTAATGATGATGGAGAAATTATTGAATTTGAATCATATATTATACCAGAAGATTTATTAGAAGATGGTCAATTACGTATGTTAGATGTTGATGCTTCAATAGTAGTACCAGTAGATACTCATATTAGATTTATTGTTTCATCAGCTGATGTATTACATGATTTCTGTGTTCCTTCTTTAGGTATTAAAATTGATGCTGCTCCTGGTAGATTAAATCAAACATCAGCATTAATTCAAAGAGAAGGTGTTTATTATGGTCAATGTAGTGAACTTTGTGGAGTTTTCCATTCAGCTATGCCTATTAAAGTAGAAGCTGTATCATTATATGAATTTATTAACTGATTAAATGAACAATAATATATTAAATATCATTTATATTTTTTATAAGTAATATTTAAATTATTAAAATTTAAACAAAATATTTTCTATTTAACTAATATTATCTATTTTATAGATATTTAATATAATATATATAATATATATATAATGGATTGATGACCGAGTGGTTGAAGGTGTAATATTTGAGCTATTAAGTACTTGAATAAGTACCGTAGGTTCGAATCCTACTCAATCCGAATAAGATAATAAATATAAATTATAATAAAAATAAGGGATTATAGTTTAATGGTAAAACAACTACTTTGCAAGTAGTGAATATTGGTTCAATTCCGATTAATTCCAGAATAAGAGAGAAAATAAAAGAAATAAAGAAAGAGTAATAAAAAAAATAAAGAGCATGATGTTGGCTCCGATTAAACGTTATCTAAGAACATAATACATGCGAATTAAACTGAGAACAATACGAAAGTAAAAATTGTTTAAAGTGGTGTAAACGTGAGTATATATTGGTATATGAACTATAAATAAAGTTAAATACTTAGAGGATAAAATTTAATTTATCTGTTTATAGTCAAGCCAATATTTGATTAGGTAGTAGTTTGAGTAAAAACCAACCTAGCCGAAGATCTAAAACCAATAATGAAAGTTATAATGGTCACGTTGATTCTGAGATGGATCAATTTCATATAGAAACAGCAGTAAGGAATATTAGACAATGATCTAACGATTGATCTAGTTACTTAGAAAGATGAATTCTTCACATAAAATTTGTTTTAATAAAATAAAAGAAAAATAAAAGGAGAATATTGATAAAAAATAAAATCTAAATTATAAAGAAAATAATGATATTATTTATAATGATATGTCTTAACAAAAATTAGTGCCAGCAGTTGCGGTTATACTATGAAGGCAAACGTTAATCATTAAGGCTTAAAGGATCCGTAGAATAATAATTAATAATTATTAGAGTTCAAAGTGAGATTAAAGAATAATTATAGTAAGGATGAAATAATATTGATCATAATTAGACTGCTAATAGTGAAGACATTAATCTAAAAATGAACTGACATTGAGGGATGAAGGCATAAGTATCAAAACGGATTAGATACCCGATTAGTTTATGCAGTAAACGATGAATACTAATATTATAAAAAAAATTTATAATAATAAGTGAAAACGTAAGTATTCCGCCCGGTGAGTACGTTCGCAAGAATGAAATCCAAGACAATAGACGGTTACAGATAAAAGCAGTGGATTGTGTTTTTTAATTCGATAATCCCCGATAAATCTTACCATTATTTGAATAGATATAATCTTTTTGATTATATTTACAAATGTTACATCGTTGCTTTTAGTTCGTACTTCATGGTGTTAGATTAAGTTCTATAACGAACAGAACTCTATATATATTAAACAATAAAATATATATGTTATTAATAATATTAATAACTAATGGAATTAAAGCAAATCCTGATGACTTTAATATAATGGGCTAAAGACGCAATACAAAATCTTATACAAAATTATATAATATCATTTTTAATGATTTAATTATTAATTAAAATAAGATATCTATTTAATTATTTTTAATTAATATCTAATTTGAATTAATATCTGAAATTCGATATTATGAAAAAGGAATTGCTAGTAATCAGTTTATCATTATTAAACGGTGAAATTTACCTCTGTTTCGTACTAATTACTCATCATTCGCTTAAATTATTATTTAAACCCAAAATATATTTACTCTCTATTTATCTATTATTCTCATTTTAGATTAATTTTCTGTTTAATATATAGAAGTTTAATATGAGATAAGTGAGAAGTTGAAATACAGTTATCGTTGAGGAATCAGCGGTGGTTTGTTAATTATCTTTTATATTCCCCTATATTTATTAAAAATTTTAATTAATTTTTTATTACTAATTTAATTCTTTTTTAGGTATTTAGTTTAATGGTAAAACAATAACCTTCAAAGTTATATTTGAGAGTTCAACTCTTTCAATACCTGTTTATTTTATTGTAACCTATAATTTACATTAATTATAAATATATTGCAAAATATATTAATAATAATTCTATGTTAAATAAATTATATATATTTAATATATTTAATTTAATAAATAATTATACTAATTTAATAATTTATAATATATATATATTTAATCATATATATATAATAGTATAAATTAAAGAAAATCAAAATATGGCTTTAAGAAAATCACATCCTTATTTAAGTTTAGTTAATAGTTATTTAATTGATTCACCTCAACCTTCATCACTTAATTATTGATATAATTTAGGTAGTTTATTAGGTTTATGTTTAGTTATTCAAATTGCTTCTGGTATATTTTTAGCTATGCATTATAGTTCACATATTGATTTAGCTTTCTCATCAGTAGAACATATTATGAGAGATGTTAATAATGGTTGATTAATTCGTTATATTCATGCTAATGGTGCATCATTCTTCTTCGGATGTATGTATATTCATATTGGTAAAGCTATTTATTATGGTAGTTATCGTAAACCTAGAGTTTTATTATGAGTTGTTGGTGTTGTTATTTTTGTATTAACTATGGCTACAGCTTTTATGGGTTACTGTTTAGTATATGGTCAAATGTCTCATTGAGGAGCGACAGTTATAACTAATTTATTTAGTGCTATACCATTTATAGGAAAAGATATTGTTCCGTTTATATGAGGAGGTTTCTCTGTATCAAACCCAACAATACAACGTTTCTTTGCTTTACACTATTTATTACCATTTATTTTAGCTGCTGCTGTAGTTTTACATTTAATAGCTTTACATACTAATGGTAGTACTAGTCCTATAGGAACTACTGCTAATATTGATAGAATTTCAATGCATCCTTATTTCATTTTCAAAGATTTAATTACTGTATTTGTATTCTTATTAATATTTAGTTTATTCGTATTCTTCTCTCCTAATACTTTAGGTCATCCCGATAATTATATCCCAGGAAATCCTATGGTTACTCCTGCATCAATTGTTCCTGAATGATATTTATTACCATTTTATGCAATTTTACGTTCAATACCTGATAAATTAGGTGGAGTTATAGCTATGTTTGCTGCTATACTTATTTTATTATCATTACCTTATACAGATAGAAGTATAATTAGAGGAAATTGTTTTAAAGCTATTTCTAAATTCTTCTACTGATTATTTGTATTTAATTTTATTTTATTAGGTAATTTAGGACAACTTCATGTTGAAATACCTTATACAGATTTAGGTGTATATTGTACTATTTATTATTTCGCTCATTTTGTTGTTGTTTTACCTTTAATTTCATCTTTAGAAAATATCTTATTTGTTTTAGGTAGAAAAAGTATTAAATAATATTAAATATTAAATAATATTATCTATTTAGTATTAGGTAGACGATTATATATATATTTTATATATTCGTATTTAATATATATATATTTTTATATAATATATATATACAAAAAAATTTTATTCATTTATGTTAGTATTATCATTAATAATAATAATAGTATATGGATCATTACAAAATCAAAGTTACAATGAAATTAAATCAATTAATAGATTAGGATTAATTATATTAATATATACATTAATACTTAATTTAAGTATTAATAAGATTGAATATATAACAATAGGTATTAATTTATATAATAATTTACTATTAATAAATAATCTAAATAATACTATGATAAATATTATATTATTAATTAGTATAATATATATATTATTAATATCATTTAATATAACAGGTATTAAATTAATAGATAAATTAAATTATAGTAAAATAGCATTATTAGAATTAATATTATTTAATATAATAGGTTTAACATTATTACCATTAGTTAATGATATAATGTTATTATATATGATAATAGAATTACAATCATATTCATTATATTTAATAACATCAGTATTTAATGAATCACATAATTCATTAAAATCAGGATTATATTATTTTATAGTTGGTAGTATAGCATCATTTATAATATTAGATTCTACAGTATCAATATATGATGATATAGGATTAACAAATATACAATATATATTAATGTATATTGATAAAATAGATAATTATAATTTATTATGTTTATTATTAGGTTTATTTATAAAAATAGGATTAGCTCCATTTTATATTTATACTATTACTATTTATACTTTAAGTCCAACTATTATAACTAATTATATAAGTTTAATGCCAAAATTAAGTATATTAACATTAATTTATATTATATTATATTATATTAGTATTATTAATAATATTGATATTATTAATATTATATCATTTTTAATAATTATATCTATGATTATAGGTAGTTTAGGGGGATTAAATGTAATAAAAATTAAAACATTATTAGCTTATAGTAGTTTATTAAATGTAAGTTATATGTTAATAGCTATATTAGGTAATAATAATGAATCTATTATAGCTTATATTTATTATATTTTTCAATATTCTTTAACTCATTTAGATATATTTAGTATTATTTTATTAATGTCAATTTATTCACCTATAAATACTAATATTATAAATAATTCAAATAAATTATATAATGATAATAAATTATTAATAAGTAAATATTCTCCAATAGAATATTTAAGCCAATTTAAAAATTTATTTATTAATAATATCTATTTAGCTATCTCTTTAATTATATGTTTATTCTCTTTAATAGGTATTCCTCCATTAAGTGGATTTTACGGTAAATTATTAATTTTAATATCTTCTTTAAATAATGGATTTATTTTTTTATCTATTGTATTAATTATATCTAGTAGTATTTCCACTTATTATTATGGTAGTATTATTAGATTAATATCATTTGATATTTTAAATAATAAGAAAATTATTAATAATTATAATGAAAATAATAATAATAATATAATAGTTAATAAAATAAAAGATAATGTAATATCAAATATAATAAGTTATATTATAAGTGTATTAACTTTAATAATATTATTAATAAATATACAATATCCATCATTAATAAAAGGGACATATTTAGTATTATTATATAATGGAATATAGAATGTTACAAGATTTATTTAATAATTATATAATATTAGTAGGTATTATAGGTATAGCATTAATAGGTATAAATTATTTAATAGTAGAAAGTAGTAAATTAGATGAAGATAATGGATTTGATTATAGTGAAAAATTAGGACCATTTGAATGTGGATTTAATAGTTTTGAACAAAGTAATAATCCTATTCCAGTTGCATTCATTTTAGTTGCATTATTATTTTTACCATTTGATTTAGAAGTATCTTCTTTATTACCTTATATTATGTCAATATATTCTGTAGGTATTTATGGTTTAATTATTTTCATAATTTTCTTATTAATTTTAATTATTGGTTTTATATATGAATTAAATACTAAATCTTTAGTGTTTAATACTTTAAATAAACCATCACATGAAATAAAATTATTTATAAATAATTAATTTATTTATTTTTAAAAGTAGTTTCCAATATAAATATTCTGATAAAATCAGTTATATATAATATATTATATTAATTTATTTATGAATTTTAATTTATAAATATTTATGATATAAATTATATAATCTATAAAAAAAATTAATACTATATTAATAGTATAATTTAAGATAAGTTAAATATATTATAATATTAAAAAATATATATAATATATAAAACGAAACAATAAAAAATAATTAATTTATTTATGTCATATGTAAATAGATGATTATTTAGTACAAATGCAAAAGATATTGCAGTATTATACTTTATATTTGCATTATTCTGTGGATTATTAGGATCATTAATGTCATTCATATTAAGATTAGAATTATCATCACCAGGAAATCAAATATTAATGGGAAACCATCAATTATTTAATGTAGTAGCAACAGCACATGCAATACTTATGATATTCTTTATGGTAATGCCAGCTGCAATAGGATTTTTCGGAAATTATCTTGTACCATTAATGATAGGTGCATCAGATATGTCATTTGCTCGTTTAAATAATATATCATTCTGATTACTTCCACCAGCATTAGTATGTCTTGTAAGTAGTGCATTAGTAGAAAATGGAGCAGGTACTGGATGAACAGTATATCCACCATTATCAGGAATACAATCACATAGTGGACCATCAGTAGATTTAGCAATATTTTCATTACATTTAACATCTATATCTTCATTATTAGGAGGTATAAATTTCATAACTACAATCTTAAATATGAGAACTGTAGGTATGAGTATGTCAAAAATACCATTATTTGTTTGAGCTATTTTCTTTACTTCTATCTTATTAGTTTTAACTTTACCTGTATTATCAGCAGGAGTAACATTATTATTAATGGATAGAAACTTTAATACTTCATTCTATGAACCATCAGGAGGAGGTGACCCTTTACTTTACCAACATCTTTTCTGATTCTTCGGTCACCCTGAAGTTTATATCTTAATTATACCAGGATTTGGTATAATATCTCATATAGTAAGTGCTTATAGTAAAAAACCAGTATTCGGTGCTATAGGTATGATTTATGCTATGGGATCAATTGGATTCTTAGGTTTATTAGTTTGAAGTCATCATATGTATACTGTAGGATTAGATGTTGATTCTCGTGCTTACTTTACATCGGCTACGTGCGCCATTTCATTAAATAAAATCATGTATAAAAATTATACTATTAAATTATTCTCATTATATATATATTATTATTTAATAATATTTAAATAAATATGTATATTTATTAATATAAAGCATTATACTTAGGTATACAAAGTAATTTGTAACTGACAATAGCATGTATAAAAAAGGAAATTTACATATATAATATATATATGGTTCATTCCTGAGCTAAATTTATAAGGTTATATTGAATATTAAAAATAATAATTATTATTATTATTATATGAAAGATATATTATAATATAGTTACATAATAAATATGTATATAATATATAGTTTATATTAGATAGTTAATAATAGTAGCTGATTATTAACAGAGAATAAT